CTCAGACTGTCTTTTTCTATCCCTGAGACCATATTGTAATTACCAATTTGTATTGTCTCATCCCTTCCCCTTCTCCTTCATCCCCACCCCCTCCCAGCTAACACCCCTCAGTTCTTCCTCTGTGTCTCTGAGACTATTGTGAGGGAGTTTTTAGCCAGTAAAAAAATAACTGTATTGGAACACCTTCCCTACTCACCTGATCTGGCCCCCAATGACTTCTTTCTTTACCCAAAAATAAAGGAAATATTGAAAGGAAGACATTTTTATGACACTCAGGACATCAAGGGTAATACGACGACAGCTCTGATGGCCATTCCAGAAAAAGTCCCCGAATTGCTTTGAAAGGTGGACTAGGCACTGGCATTGGTGCATAGCTTCACAAGGAAAGTACTTAGAAGGTGACCATAGTGATATTCAGCAATAAGGTATGTAGCACTTTTTTTAGATGAGCTCGTGAACTTAATGTCTGACCTCATATATGCAGAAATTGCCCAACATGGCTTCTAGTCAGAAATTGTATTTCCCATATCAGACTAAAAAGAACTGAGGCTACATAAGTGATGAATGTCTCCTCAAAATCAGGAAACAAAATAGAAAGCATGCATTGAGCACCTACTGTGTGTTAGCTATTCTACCAGGCACCAGAGAGAAGAAAAGAATAAAGAAACTAGAGTTGATATCTCAAGGAAGTCCTTCTCAATTGTCTTTCAAATAATCCAATGGTCCACAAAGAGCCAACAAATTAACCACATCAGATCTTTCTTAACACTTTTGGGGAGGGAGAAGTCATAGATTTCTGGGATTTAATCCTATGGCAATAATCAAATGGGTAGAAAAATGAAAAGTCCCCATGTAAGCTCCAAGTATTTTCCTTGAGCCAAATATCAGCCTCTTCTGAAAAGCTATAGTAGTAGTAATAATAATAATAATAATAATAATAATAATAATAAATCCTATTTTCCCCCATTATTCTTTCATTTTCCAGGTAGTGCAAAAGCAAGTTAGAAAAAAAGAAAATGAAAAAAAAAGATTCTCAAACTGGATAGTTTCCACATTGTATTTGGTGTGTATATAACACACTCAATGAGGTGCATGAAGTGCACGTATCACAAGTTCCCAGCTTGATGAATTTTTATGTGTGTAAACCCAGGTAACCAAGCAATCAAGACATAAAATATTTCCAGTCTCCCCAAAAGTTCCCTCCACATCTTTTCAAGGTAACCACTCTTCTGACTTCTCTCATCATTGATTAGTTTTTCCTGTTTATAAAAATTCCCATAGTTTCAAATGGACCATACACATGGTTATAATTCTTTCTACCTGGGATAAATGGTAAGTAGCTTCTTCTCATGGTACAGAGGCAATCAATCNAGATCATGTAAGGTGCCAGATGGGCACTGGACTTATCAGGGGGATCACTTCACAGACTGTGTAGATGCCTGACCAATGTGCTATACACATGAAGAGCTGAAGTAGAATAATACTGCATGTCAACTATAACTAAATATATAGGTATACATAGTCACGGAATGTGGAGTACAACATAGGAGATAGTTGATGGTATTGTAACAGCTATATAAGATGTCAGAGGGGTAGTAGCTTAGGGATGGGTTATCACTTTATGAAGGGTTTAAATGTCTAACTATTATGTTGCTTTGTACACCTGAAACTAATAAAAATTAATTAATTAATTACATATAAATAAATAACATAAAAAAGAGTGACTTCCTTTGAGGAAGAGGAAGTTCTGCTTCCAGGTTGACTGCCTTCAGAGTTGAGATGCAATATCAAGTTTTCCCTGGGTTTCCAGCCTGCCGGCCTGTCCTGTGGATTTTGCACTTTCCAACATCCACACACTCATGAGCCCATTCCTTAAAATAATATTACAGTATGTCCTACTTAACACTATTGATAGTTTCTTGGAACTGCAGCAAAATGATGTATCATGAAACGAATTTCACCATAGCTAATTGCTCTAAACAAGAGTTAAGTTTCTACAGCATCTGATCACTGTTATAACAAAATGACATTATTTGAGGACCTGCTGTGTGTACACACACACATCCTATTGGCTCTGTTTTTCTAGAGAGCCTGGACGAATACAGGTAGTAAAATGAGAAATCTCTGTTAAGTCCCGAAGTTTGCCCTAGAAGTAAGTTTCACTGACTTTCTCCTTTCAGAATTGAATACAATTGAGTTAATATCGTTCTTAAGGTTTCTTTCCTGCTTTCCTTTACAGAAATAGAGGGAAAATCAAAAATAAAGCAAAAGGCAGAAATAAAGCAAAGAGCAGAGAAAATTCTCAAACTGGGTAGAGAGTGCCCAGATAGCTTTAGTTGTCTGCCGTCATTGTTATAATTCTACCTACCTGCCGGTAGCAACCTTACATATCCGTTTCTCATGGTGCAGACACCAGCAAGTCCAGCCATGGAGGACATCTGATCTTGGTCTGTGTGTGCTAAAAAGACTTCCTGGTTTAAGTATGACTCATGCCTTAGATTAGATGACTTGGAAAACCATTAGTGTCAATACTGTCTTCCCCTTGTTCTTTCCACTGTTTAATATCTCAAAACCCATGGTCCTATTTTTTAAGTATTTGTATAGCATTACTAGTATTCATACTGAAAGCCTCCTTGAGAGTGGTTTTTACATCTTTTTGATATAGGAAGTCCTCCCAAACATGAAGAATCACTTTACTGGTCTTTTTGCCTTACGAGGACCTTGGTTCAAAGTGAACAGACTTATCTATTATCTATTAACACGCTTCTTTATGTTTAAGCTTTTATTTTGAAATAAATATAGATTGACAGGAAGTTGAGAAAACAATACCAAGAGATCATGTGTACGCTTCACTCAGTTTCCTGCAAAGGTTACATTTTTATGTAATGATAGACCAATATCTAAACCAAGAAATTGACACTGGTACAATGTGTGTACATTTCCATGTCATATTATCATGTGTACATTTCTGTCACTGTCACTACAATCAAGATACATAAATATTTCATCAGCACAAAGAGTCCCCTCATGCTATGCCAACATCCCTAAACCCTGTCAGGTCTAAAGCTAAGGTGTTCTTATTCTTCAACAACACTCAAAACAGTTTAGATTCATATATATTGATAAAGGAAAATATTCCTGATATGTTTTAAAAGATGAGAAAAACATGACTCCCCAAAAGAAAATTTTTTTTCCCAGTACTCTGTGTGGTGGAATTGTGGTGACTTTGTTAACATTTTTTACATTTTCCTTGTTTTCTCCAGGGCCATGTGTAGAAGTCTACTAAGGTTACTGTAACAAAATCTTATACTGGGCAGCTTAAGCAACAGAAATTTATTTTCTCACAGTTTTGGAGACTGGAATTCCAAGATCAAGGTTCTGTCAGAGTTGGTTTCTAATGAGAGCTCTCTCCTTGGTTTGTAGATGGCTACTTTCTCACTGTGTCCTCACATGACCTTTTCTTTCTGTGTGTGTGGATAAGGGGAGAGGGAGAGGGCAAGGGGAGGGTAAGTCAGGGGAGAGGGGGATTAATGGTGTCCTCTAGTTCTAAAGCCCAAGCTCTCCACTCTACAACTCTTGGCCATGACACCACCACTGCCCTGCTCCCATCACTCTTCATTTGACCTGTGTTTCATTGGCAAAGTGCTCCTATGCTGCTCCCAGGGCTGAGGACTCCAGATACCCCACAATCTCTGATGTGCCCCTCCACCACACTCAAGTCTCTGTTTCTTTACAATCTATCATGAGATTGCTGGAGATCTTCCCAGATGGAGATATGAATCGGGACAACAGACAGGCAGAGGCACCAAAACATGGGGAGTAAGAAGGGCACCTCCACCCACAGAACATTGTGGGAATGGAGACTGGTCAGAAGTCCCAGGGAATGGAGGATGCCAGGTGCCAGCTGGGGACCAAAGAATGGGGGAGGGGATGGGGTAGCTGCTATCAGAAGAGGAAGAGCTCAGGAAACTGTGGGCATTTGGGGAGAAAGAAATAGATCTCTTATCCCCAGAAGAAGACCATCTCCGAGGCTCACTTGCAAAATAAGCTTCCTGTCCCCACTTCCTCCTTGTTGGTGTAGAAACCCAGGTGCTAGCATGCACTCCCCAGCTTCCATCACTAATGGGGCTGGCTGAGCAGACTCACCTCCAGAGTTCAGGACTTCAGCTCCCAATGGCAACGGCAGCAACACAGAGAGCCTTGGGGCAGAAAGACAGAGAGGTAACAGAAGGGAGTCAATGTCCAATTTCAACCCCTGTCCACATGGCCACTGCCTCCCTGCTAGGTCTCTGGCCCTGCAGCCTACAGCTTCCAGCAGCATCCCCCAGGCTCTTTACACCAGGCTCCTGCACTTTGCATGGAGTGTGAGGCTCTCAGCCTTGTCCCCTCCATCTCCTGGGCCTCCTCTAGGAATCAGTCACCAACAGCCACATGCCTTTGTGGAACTTGAGGTGCTACAGGTAAGGAAACAGAATATATGCAGACTGTTGATGACAGAGACACGTCTTAGAAAGCCCAACCTCTCCCAATGGAGGGGGTAAGTCTTAACTGGTATCTTTTTCTTTTCTTACAAGGACATCAGTTCCACTGGATTAGGACCCCACCCTTATGACCTCATTTAACCCTAATTACCTCCTTAAAGGCTCTATCTCCAAGTATACTTTATTGGGGGCTAGTGCTTTTTAGAAGGATACAATTCAGTCCATAAAGAATAGTATCCTCTAAACTTGGG